TTTAGCTATTTGTTAAATTCACAGTTTATCTCATGATCGGGTGACCAGGATATTGAGCCAATGAGCTCAAGTCACACGTCGCTTTCTAGAGATCTGTTTTTAACACACACAACAAATCTATGACAAAACGTTGTTTCATAGTATCTCTTCCTGTCTCCCTCTTCTAAAAAATATGTTTATATTTGTGTGAGTGTATGTATATAATAGAGTGTGTGTGTAGGTGCCTTTGGAAGCTAGAAGGGACCAGATGCCCTGGAGCTGGAGTTTCAGGTGACTGGGAAACATCTGAAATAGCGCTGGGACTCGGATCTTCTGGGAGAGCAGCCAGTGTTTTTGACTGCAGAGTCATCTTACAGCTCCCCTTGTCTAATCTCTGTAGCGCTCGTTTTTACAACTCTACTTCATTTGGGGTGTTTAGGCCTCCACCTCCACCAACCCTAGGTAGGAGAGAAGGTTAGCGGGGAGAGGGAGCCCTGACCCCTTTGTTTTCCCTGCATCTTTAGGGTCGAAGGGTGTTTTTAGGGCTCTGTACCAATGTCCATCAACAGCACGCAGCCAGTAGTCTCCTCCATGACACTGTGCCCCCCAAACGTTTCTTTCCATCTGTCTCTCTGGTCTCTCTAAACTCCCACATGCCTGGCCAACCCCTCATGCCACACCACTTCTCAGCTCTCAGTTTATATCCTCCAAGTCCTACACCACACCCATCTCTGTGCTACTCGTAGAAGACTGTTACCATCGGGCAGAAGGCCCGCATCACACGAGAAAATTAACAGGTGTGGAAAAACTATAGCCCAACTAAAACCCCACACTTGGGATTAAAACAAAAGCATATTTATATAACATGACCTGAGTTTTTAGAGAAACCAAAACTTCAATTACAAATCTCACTTGTCTAAATTTTGAAGATTTGAGATAGTATAAAATATAATGTGTAATAAATGTTTTGCAGATTTTCTATATTGTGTTCTTAAATAAAAGAGCACAGAGATCTTGGAGTCAGGAAAGAAAGATTTCAAAAGCAAAGATGTCAGTGGTGTGAAATGCTTCAGTGAAACAATAGAAGAATGCCACAAAGGTCATCAGCTGGGCAATTAAAAGACTTCTAGTGACCAATATTAGTTGTGATAGTTTGTTGTAGGAAAAATAAAATTAAAATTGGCTTAAAACTTAAAACTAGCTGGGTATGGTAGCACACACCTTTGACCCCAGTATTAGAGAAGGCAGAAGCAGAGCAAGGTGGATCACTGTGAGTTCAAGGCCAGTCTGGTCTAACAGCCAAGGCTACACAGAGAAACTTTCTCAAAAACCAAAACAACAACAAAGTCAGGACTATCTCAATTTAGCATTAGGCAGTTAGTTAATGAGTGTTCTGGTTCCATTTTTCTGTGACTCTTTGATTTGACTTCCTTGCAGTTTTTCTTAACTTGATGACCAATTATCACACTTCATTCATGGGAGTGAAGTAGAGAAGCTCTGTGTGTACTGGTTCCTTCTTTGTACTCTGATCATCTCCTTAGGTCAGTGTTTGTACCTCCGTCAATTTGTGTGATTCAAATGAGAGACAGAATACGCTAACAAGCTTGGAAAGATCATGCCTGACTCATGAGCTGTAACTAAACTCAGTCTGCCTCAGATCGCAGTGCAGGAGAGATGTCGCTGTCACCAACAACACCTGTTCAATAGCTACTGAGAGGGCAGATCTCAAGGAATGTGGTGGGAATGGTGGACACCAAGCAACATAAGTGAAGAAGTAAAGTGAAGGAATGAAAAGGCTAAGGAGGCAGTAAGGATGTGGTGCCTGCTGCCAATTCTGACCATGAAGTATGAAGGGTAAAGCAGGACAGTAACCAGAATCACTAAGTCTTCATAACCCGTTGTCCTCCTTGTATGTTTTCATGTGTGGTACATACACTGTGTACGTGAGGGTGTATGCTGTGACCATCCCGGTGCATGTAGAGACTAAAAAGCACGTACAGCTTTTCTGGGCACTGGAGATGCTTGCTCAGCAAATCTTTTTATTCACTGAACTAATTCCCCGTACCCCACACCTATTTTTAAGCTAGGTACAAGGATGGTGTTGTCTACACACCTTCACATTTCACCTGTTTTCATGTCATTCTCATATACACATGTAAGCATATATGGAGACAATCCTATCTCCTCAGTCCTTCTGAGATTGGTTCGTGAACATGCCTGAAAGGCAGATGGCAGAGATGAGGCATGCTGAGATTCTGGCAGTTGTACTTGCCCTTGTGATTATGATCCTACCCTACTCTCCCTACCATGAAGAAAGGTCCATTAAAAAGCATTCTGAAAATACAAGAAAAATAGTCTGTCACCATGAAAGGCAGAGCAGATATAGAAGGAACCTGAATTGATTCAAGTAGATGACTGGACAGCTCTGCAGTTGTATAGTCAGTGGCCTTCAGGTCATGGAAACCAGATGTCTTGTTAAGGCAGTTTGAGGCAGGTGACCTGTTACTCCAGCCAAAAACAATGGAACAGGGAAAACAAGGGCTTTTAAGAAGTCTGTTATTTAGAGGTAAAAGAATCACCAGAGAAGTAAAAAACTAGACATATGGAAAAAAGGGGCAATTGAAGTTTCTAGAAGTGCGTAAGGAAGAAGGTTGTGAAACATTCTGAGAAAGATGATGAGAAAGAGGAATGATGAGATGAGAGATGTTTGTGAATGGAGTTGGAGGACATGCTGATTTGACTTTGATCTCAACACAATGAAAAGCAACACATCCTATGAGAGCATACAAAAGGATCTAAATGAGGCTACATATTTAAAAAGAATTTATCTCTAGATGGTGTGGTCAGATAGAGCACCTTCGGGGCTGGTTGGAGCACATTACGTAGAGTCTCATCATGCGCCAAGCTGAAGTAGGTCCCAAGGGCTGGGGCAGCAGTGTAGAGGCTGGTGGGGGAACTGCCTGTATTCTGCCACTTTGCCCACCCTCTTCACACCACCCTATTCTGCCCAAAGACTGCCAACCCCCCCCCACACACACACACACACACGGAACTGAGACCACAAAGGGAGGCAGTGTTCCCAGCTCCTTCTTCTTCAGTTTCCATCACTGGTTTCCTATGATGAACTCCACAGGTTTCCTTCACCATGAGCACGCTCCTAGATGATCTTACACACACACACACACACACACACACACTATATGTGTGTATATATATATGTATATATATATATGTATATATATATGTATATATATGTATGTATTGCATATTGCAGGTAACTTTTTAGTAAAAAAAAAATAGAACTATCTGGAGATTATTAAATATTTGTAGCAAATTCTTCACTAACTCATTTCTTACACATTCAGGTTGCATTTGAGAAGGTGTTCTCCAGATACTGTATTAAAAAAAAGAGGCATTTCAATTTTCTTCCTGGAAGCAAGCACTTCACCACTGTATTTCTAAAATACAGTATCAAGACAGCAACAGTTAACCTATATGAACTTATCTTGGGTTCAAATCTAATGAATTAGAAATCCTGATGTACAGTGCAGCCATCAATACTTCTAACACAACCAATTCACATGAAAGTTGACTACTAACAGTAACAGTCTAGATCTGGAATATTCCCCTAAAGCCCAGGCATTACCAGCAGGGCCTTGGCTTGGTTCTATTTGAAGATGATGGGAACCTTCAAGAGATGGGGTCTAGTGTGACATTCAAGGTCGAGCTGGGCCTTGGAACGAGATTGTAGGACTTGGTCTCCTGTGTTCATCCTCTTTACTTTGCAACTGCCACAAGATGAGAAGTTTGTTCAACCACATACTTCCTATCATGATGTCTCACCTTCTCACGGGCCTAAATACATACAGCCAACTGACACAGATGATCTGGATAAAATCTCCAACACTCTGGGCCACAATAAACCTTTCCTTCTTTGCAGGTTATTATTTCAGGCATTTATTAAACAGCAACAGAGGTTTACCATGAGTTGTGAGCATAAAGCAGTGGAAGCACAGGGAACAGAATGCCTGGGTAAATCAGAAAAGCCCCAAGAGATACTAAGCCGAAATCTGAAGACCAACAGAAGCTTGACAGTATGTAACCCACTTACAACCATTGCTCCACTGTTCTTTCCATTTGTCTCCTTGTTTTCCCTAGTGTTAACAGAATTCTACTTAGTGCTGAAATGCTAAGCTCTTCTAATTGACAAAATACAAAACAAAACAAAAAACAAGACAGCGATTAACTGTTTACTCTCCCTGCAGCTTCTAACAGGCAGACATCATTCAACACCATAAAACAGATCCTGCAGATACTATTTCTAACAAAGGATTCTTGTAAGATCCCTTGACTTCAAAGCCTAAAGTTGATCTGCCCTAAAAGATCTTTAATTCTGATGGGCTGTTTTACATAACACCTAATGGAATCTATGTTTTCTTGCATCAATCTTAAGGGCTTTTCTCCCAAAACTAGGAAATAAAAGAATAAAGCTTCAGCTATTTCTCTGAAGAGTGTGAATATGTGTCTAATTTAAGCTAACACTGGACAGACAAGACAAATGCAAAAAGAATTATGGTAATATATGGAGAAGGCAATTCTATTAATACAAATCTAGAAAGTCAGAGAAAGGTAGATAAACAGATTAGGTAGGTATGTCATATGACAAACAACGGAATTAACATTCTTTCAGAAGTGTTAAGGAGGTATTAAAAAGAAATGATGTACATGAGAGATGGCTGAGTAGTTAAGACCATATACTGCTTTTGAAGAGGACACAAGGTCTGTTCACAGCCTCCATGTGGAGCAGCTCACATCTGGAAATCCAGTTCCACAGGATCGGATGCCTTCTTCTGTCCTCCATGTTTGCCTGCACTAATGAGCACAGAACCATATACAAATATATACATAATTAAAAAGAAATCTTTTTTTTTTAAAGTAATGAAGTAGTTTGGTACTGGCAGCTTACTTCAATATTATGTGATTTTTCTTTTTTTTTTTTTTTAAAAAAAAAGCACAAACAATATAACTTGAAACTTTATTTTTAAATTATTCTGCAATTTGAGATTTTTCAAAAACATTAAGCATCATTTACTTTCCACCAGCATACAACATATATATTAAAATCATGGACATTGTTGCAATATGAAACATGGAGCAGCAATTGTCCTAGCCCAGCTAATCAAACTCCTTCAGTAAATCATCATGCTAAAACCTGGAAACACCCAAACAAGAAATTCTAGTTCTCTTGAAAGATATTCATAAATTTTTTTCCCCAGAAAATCAAAATAATTGACTTAACAAGTACAGTCCTAGCATGCAGCAAACCATCATTTAACATGTTTATTAACATAAATTCGTACTTTATTTTCACTCCTACTGATGTCATAAGAAGCTTGCAATGGTAATAACAGTAAGTATTTTGTTACAGGTACTTCAAATAGCACTACAGAACATCTCTTGACAAAATTTTTACAGTATTCCAACTTTCAATATGAAACAGCTTCGAAAGGCATAAGCCAAATTAAAAAAAAAAAAGTATCTTCTTATTACTCAGGCAAAGACTCATAGTCATACGAGCACAACATTCAGAACTCTCCCTGTTTAGGTGGGAAAGAAACATCTGAGACATTTCCCTTCAAATAAAACTATATAAATAACTTAGGGAAATGCCCAAATCCATAACTTCGTATATTAAATAAACACGAACTATTTATGCTTTCTTTACGTGACACACACATCCGTCAATAGTTCTGTGAGCCCCAATGTGCTTGCGCTAGAAACACATCCCTCTAATCTCAAAGAAACAGAAGTTACGCCTTGAAGCACACAGCATTCCTCTTCAGACAAGCGTCTCTACTTAAAAATAGGCACATTTCTTTACGTTTGGGCACCTATTCATACCACAATTTATCTCTGTAAATTAAACCCAAGTTTCTTATGGTTCACTTGGGCTGAAAGCTTTCTCTTTTCTCCCCCCACCCCTCACAAAGTACAGCTCTTATACCGTGATCAAAGCTTACAATTACTCCATTGCCCACACTTCCAACACAGGCCTTTTCACTATATATAAGTGTGATAAAACCTATTTCTTTTCACCTTAGAAAAAGAACAGTTAACCTTTTTATTGCTAGAAAAATGTTAGTCAAGCATTTTACATACTGCCACAAATGTGAAGGACAATCTGTGACTACGTCACTTCTCTCACAGAGTAGGATTAAATGAAATATTTTTGTCAGATCATGACAATACTGATACTGTTTAGAAAAAAATGATGACTTCAACTCTGTAAGCACCTTATTCTTCCACAGAAACAATATCCTTACTAACCAAAGTAACAACTTAACAAAGGTTGAAATAATACTATAGCATTAAGTGTCTTTCACAAAGAGAGGAGCTAAGACTGAAACTACAGAACTATTGCCATTTGACTGAATTTAGCAGAATAGATTTAGTCAAGTCATAGGGCCACTCAAAGGTGTTGAAACAAAGTCTTGTCCCTGGCCACTGCTGTCAACCAATAATGAGCAAACAGGTGCACTGCATTCAAGTGTCTAAAAAGATACACCTACAGACATATAAGAAAAACTCATGGCACTTGGAAAATACCATGTAAATGTAAACATTATTGGATGGTAAATACATATGGGTGCAACCCAGCTTCCTCCTGCTTTTAAATTCCTTAAAGAAACAAAGGTAACCTACACAGGAAGGGGGACACTTGTCTACCAAGGTAAAATTATCACAGTTTTAAAAAGTAATCACTATAAAAAAGTAAAATGCTGTAATTTCCCCCACCCATTTCCGTATCTATTATCCTTTTATCTTCTAACTTGTAAGAACGTTTTGCAATAGAATTTAAGCTTCCATGAAAAAGAAAATATGGCAGGGTGGTTTGCTGCAGCTGAATTCCAATTCTGGCCTCATTTTGGGAGGTATGCATACATACAAAGACACACAATGTCTTAAGGAGTAATTCAACAAATGAGGCCAAATTGAATATGATGGATTCAAACTTTTAATACAACCAAGGTTATATGTTGACAACCTTAGATACCTACTTATGGCATCAAACCATGCTATTACTTTTCAAGTTACTCTGCTGTTTCTAAAACACTGTGATTTTTATCTAACGTATTCCTTATTTTGCAAGACAAGCAATTGCCTATGAAGTCACCTACCTAATATAGGCCTTTGGCAAAAATGTCTTGAAGGGTATTATATTACCAGAGGTCGCATATCTATTAGTAGTTTTGTGTTACACAGATTAATTCAGAACCATTTTCTCTTGTGGTCGTTCTTTAAAGTGAGTAAGCTGATGTCTCTTCCAGTGAGGTGCTTGTCTGAATGTTTTACCACAGACTGAGCACTCAAATGGTTTCTGTCCCGCATGAATTAAATAGTGTCTTTCCAGTTTGGATGGAGATCGGAAATTTTTACAACAAACACTGCACTGGTAAAGGAGCCCATCACTTCTTTCAGGACGGCCTAAGTAACTGTAACAATGATGGCTCTGCTCTGACTCCAAAAGCGTGTCAGCGAGGAAAGACTGCCTGTTCCTGCAGTGGGTACTGAGAATGAAATCCTCTGATTCTGCCTTGACTTCAATTTCTGATACCTGACTGGACTCTGAACTCTCATACTTTTGAAGACTAATCCCCTCACACTGTTGGGAAGCATTATAACTGACATCATCACTTGGATGAATGAGAAGTTTGTTCACATTTCCAAAGTCCACCTGCCAAAAAGAACTATAGGGTACCTTTTCAATATGAGTAAGTTTATGTCGTTTTAAGTGAGCTGACTGTCTGAAAGACTTTCCACAAACATTACAGCCAAAAGGCCTCTGCCCAGTATGAATTAAATAGTGCCTTTGTAGTTTAGAGACAGAAGGAAACACTTTGTCACATTTATCACAGGGACACATTTTATGTCCAGTATGTACACTTTCACTTGAATCTGAAAAATCACACTGAAGCATGTCACAGTTATTAAAGTATTCCTCACCTGATGAGCCATAGATTGACAAGTCTTTATTATTCACTGAGCCATCCATACTTAGTATGTTTCCCGTTGCAAAGACACCTTGCAAACTTTTACCCATACTTTGGCTCTGGAATTGCTTTTGCCAAGAAAATGGCAAAGTCAGTGTTTTCTTCTTCTTTTTGCTAACTGTCTTGAATGATCCATGTCTGCCAAGTGAACCCACAAATGTTCTCTGACTCTGTTCCATGTTTTGCTTACCAGAAGTACGTTCACAATTTTTCAAGCAGTTGCTTTTAAATGTTCTTTTCTCTGACTGAAGGTTATCTGATTTTTTACCCCCAGCACGTTTAAGTTTAGCCAAGAGCTTTTTAACAATGGTCTTATAGTTACAGCTTCTTTTGAGCCTGCTTGGAATTCTGCCACCTCTGGCAGGAAGACACTTGTGTCCATTGAGAATCTGCTCGGACTCAAAACATTCTTCACACTCTGAACACTGAAAAGGGACGATATAAATAGAGTGGACATCAAGAGGATTATTCTCCTCAGATTCGCCCATATCACCATTTTCAAAAGCATCCTGCTTTGCATGTAATTTATTAGGTAGGGGACATGATTCAGGAGTCTTTACTTTCAAAGAAAGATTTTGAAAAGTCTTATTCCGAGTGTGGATTTGTTTATGCTTCAGAAGTTTGCTTTGAATCTTAAATCCTTTCTGGCAGAAACAACACTGAAAAGGCCTTTCTTCTGAATGTGTGAGTTGGTGGATTTTTAAGTGAGTTGACTGTCGGAAAGATTTACTGCACAGGACACATTTAAAAGGCCTCTGCCCAGTGTGAATAAGTGCATGCCTATCAAGTTTTGATTGTGATGGAAACATTTTGCCACAGATTGTACATGCATGAATATTCTTTCTTCTCTTCGTGGTGCTGTACGTGGGATCTGACTTAGAGCAGGGGTGCAGTGTCCGCCTCTCCTCTGCAGTAAAAGAATTATACACGCCACACATAGGCTTCTCCTGCTTGGGCGCAAGCAGTCTTCTGACTTTAACATCGTTCTGATAGGATTCACTGTGAAGCTGCTGATGTTTCACAAATGTCTTCAGATGTTTAAAGTGGCGTTGGCAGATACTACAACTAAAAGGCAGATTGTGAGTTAACTGGTGCCTCTCCAGATGAACTAGTTGTCTAAAGTTTTTGTGGCATACATCACATTCAAACGGCTTCTGACCGGTATGAATGAGATAATGCCTGGCTAATTTTGACGGCGTTTCAAAGTGCTTGAGGCAAATATTGCAAATATATGGCCTGTTCCTAGGTAGTTTGTTGGCTACACACTGCTGAATCTTGACCATTTTCAAGGTGTTTCCAGCCATCATATTCTTCAGTGGCATACTCTCACGAGCTCCATGGCATTTTTAAGCTTCACACATTTCTAAAAATTAAAAAAAAAAAATAATAAGATTTTTACAAAAGCAAATAAATTACCTGCCTTGGGCTGAAGATTAAAAGTAAGGGAGACTTTGCACTTTTCTTGTGTTTTCCAGAACTTCAAACCATCTCAGATGGATTCTTTAGAATCATGGAACTAATTTTTTAGACATTTAAGTCTTGAGAATATCTAAAATTCTCCATGTTTTAAAATGACTTTTCTGTTTGATAAGCTATATTTTAAAAGGACCAAACTTGATCTCTTAACAAATTTTTTCCTTTGTTATTAGATATGTCAATGAGTTGCTTTGCCCTTAGGAAAAAAAAAATTACCTGTACTGTAGTGCACTTCTATAAAGCCACCCATTATAAGCCAGGTGCAGGAAGGACCATGAGTTTGAGGCCAAAATGGGCAATCCAGAAATTTTAGGCCAGCCTCAGCTAGTGAGACCATGTCCTAATAATAAATAAATATTTTTAAATAGATTAAAAAGTAAAACTTTAAAATATCAAGAACAAGCCATATTATCATTGAATTATAGCAATATTGTAGACACGCTCTGAGCAAAGAATAGTTAATTTAATTATATTTAGATGGTTGAACAACAACATTAAAACTATTTATTCTCAATGAGTTTGATGGCACATGCCTTTAATCCCAGCACTTGGGAGGTAGAGGCAAGTGAATCTCTGTGAGTTCAAGACCAGCCTAGTTTACATAGTGAGCGTTCCAGGACAGGAAGAGCTTCAAAATGAAAGCCTGTCTCCAAAAAACAAATCCTCCCCCATCTTGCCTTCTGGCTCTCCTCTCAATTATTTAAGATCAACAAGGAGAATATTCACAGAGGACCTGAGTTTTATTCCTAGATTTGTCACTGTATAATTTGTATATCAGGATAAAAGAAATTCGAAATTCTTTACACTGGGAGCAATGTCTTCTCCCACATCAAGCTGCTGTGCAAGTCAATGGCAACAATGTATGTGCACATGTCAGAAAACTTAAGCAACACAGAAAGGTGAGATGCTACTGAGCTCAACATTGACCAAATTTTATGTTGTGACTCTTATCTCTGTAATAGTATTTTAGGTTCCTGAGATAAACACACAAAATTTAGTTCATTTCTGCTTTGTTGAAGACTTCCTGATAAAAACAAGTACAAAAGAACGAGGTTGACAAATTGCACACTTACATATGTATTTATGAATAAATAACAGAATGTTGGATGTGTTTCCTTTGTCAGGCAATATTCAAAATAGGTCATTCTGATCTAAGACGTATTCACTACAGATGTCTCTGAGACAGACTAAAACTTCACAAACATTTCACAATTCTCACATATCATCATCCAGAAAAGACACTTTTCTTCTCCATTACGATTCTATTAGCACTAACTAAGCCAACAATTAAAGCTAAAGCTAAACAAAGTTATGCCAGTTCTTTCATTGTAATATATAAGAATTTATAACCATACAAGAAACTCAGAATTTGTTTTTCTACCAACTTGGCAAAGAGTCAACCAATAGGTTGCATATTATCTCTCCCAGAAGACACCTTAAACACAAAGTCAAATACAGTCACTGTGCAATCGAATAAGAAACAAACAAAAATTGAGAGAATATTTTGTGCCAGTTGCTTAAAACAGTGTTTTCCAACGTACAGGTCCATACTCATGGACTGTGAAGTCAACTTAGTCAATCATGATCAGCCCAATTTGTTTACGAGTAAAAAGTTCCAGAACATACACCATGTGGCAAGTATAAATATTGTTTTCTGAAACCTCAAGTGGAAGAAGTTAAAAGGTATGTGAGAGCTGTTCCTTACATAGCTTTTCACAATATTAAACAGGGAATCTCCAATCAATCAATCAATCAATCAATCAATCACCATGTTCAAGGACAAGTAATCTATTAGGGTGACAAGGATCAGGGGCCTCAGGCAAGAGTACTAAGAAAAACAACAGAGTCTTATTTTCTTCCTGTGGGTCATATTATTTTAAAAGATGCATTTTAAAAATTATCTTATTAGTGGTCAAATAAATTCCTTTAAATAATGGAAATAAAACAATCAAACCATAAAGCACACTACTAACTAATAAAATACATCATATAACCCAGTAATAAGCAGCTGATGGGGTTCTGGATATTTTTTACTTCGCTCATCTACAAAACAAACAAACAAAAAATCTAAAAGTGAATAACGTAAAAATTCCTAAACTTGTTGGCATAGAGTTAAGATCTATGAGGATTAAATGATCATAAACCCAGCAGACTACAAAGAACTCTGCAATTCATTTAATTTTAGGCAATTCACTAAATTTCTGGTGAGCAACAAAAGTCAAGATGGTCAATCAGGACAATGAGCCAAGCTTAAATAATCAAACCTTTATTCACTTGCTGCAAGAGTGTACGTGGGACAAAAGGAGCTGGTTCCCCAGTTCAACAGAAAGACACCAAGTTGAGTGTTAAATGGATACAGTGCACAAGAGGAAAGCTTCTAACAAAGGGCTCCTGACTCCTATGGGCTAATGTGGGAGAAGAGGGCTGGTGACGGGCTGGGAGGAGAAATAGACTGCACTGAACTTTGTACTAAGTCTGGCATGGGTAGGTGGCTTCTCCTAATGAAGCGGGTAGACAAAAACCTTGTAATTGCCCAAGGTCAAGCTATAGGGTTTGGGCTTGCAGCCAGGAATTATCCATTTTTTTTCTGCATACTTTTCCCATCACCTTCTCACTGTTTCTAAAGAACACCACTCTCTCTCAAAACAAAGTCCCACACTAAAACCACACAGGGCAACTATCTGATTATAAATAATGGGAATTGGCAGTCTACAGCTCCTGTGCTCAAAAGGATCTGTGGTTAAGCAGCCATCACTAGTATTAAGACTGGATAGTCCTGTCACTTGCTTTGGGAAAGCACTTACTGAGAACCCTACTTTGTCAGAATCATTTGTGGCAAGTGGTGATCTCACTTCCTATTTATAAGTAAAAGGTCAGGGATTTCCATACTCCAAGCACAATCCCCTGTGCACTTAAGAGGCTTAAATCCCACTTCAACCGATTTTCTTTTCTCTCTATTGAATTTCTAAACATTAAAAAAAATACACTAAAGCTAATTTTCATGTTAAAGTGAAACAATACAAACCAATGGATGTGCTCAATGACTCAATCCAGATATTATCATGACAGGAGCTCAAACAACATGAAGTCAAGAAACTATAAGATCTGACATCAATAAAATCCAATGTTGTCTCAAGGTTGAAAGCACCACTGTTTTAGCAAATACCACTGAAAAGACATCTCAAAAAGTAACACAAAAGTAAATGAACAAGAAAGGAAACACCTGAGACAAACGTAGGCTTCCAGTTGGAAATCTCTGGTGACATTTACAACAGTCTTGGCCTCTTTCTATCTTTTTCTGCCCATGGCCTACTCTCTTGACCTTTCCCTAAACGTGAACTATGTTTTCAAGCTTCATCTCCTGTATTTAAAGGGGTCAAGCCTTTGCTTGTAACGGGACTGTAAAATCCCATGCCTGGAAAGGCAAGGCAAGGATGAAAGCTCCAGATTGCAGCCAGATGGGGTGCTGAGTCAAAAGTGGGACATAAGTGATTCGACCCAAGGAAGACGAGCGCAGGGCTCAGCTCTTTTGAGTTTACCGCTCCGACGAAGCACTCACTAGGGGCTGAGGTCATGGTACCCTGTTCAGATCCCCGGGAACCTGGGCGGGACTGAGGCAGGCCTGACCCTCCCTGGGGTTCGTTCCACCTCGCACACAGGCTCTTGAGGTCCTCCACACGCACCTGGAGCTGACAAGGGCCCGGAGACGTCGCATCTCAGACCCAAGAATTCGCAAGCGCACGTCTGCAGGGTCCGCGCGGCAACTGGCAGCGTGCGCAGGCGCAGCGCTCCTGAGCGCTCTGAATGCGGTCCGGCTGGAAACCGCCTCTCGCAATCTATGGGTCTGGGCTCGCCTCTTAGAGGTCCGCGCGCCTGGCTATTTGCAGTAGGGCTATTTGCAAGGAGAGAAGACGGAAGACTCAAACAGGTGCGCTTTTTACGTACTGTTGCCAACCAACCCACCTTTATTATGGAAATGCCAGACAGGACTGTAAATCTCCAGCTCTTATTGGAATCAATGGTCAGAGTTCAAAGCCCACTCATCTTTTGTAAGGTCGGGACTGTTTTTAAAACTCGCTGTATTAAGTACAATCTTGGTCAGGACTGTTGTCAGCACTTCGTATTTATATAAATATGTTGAAGAGGTGAAAGCACACAGAAGCAGGCTCCTCTCCATTGGCCTGCCAGGGGCTGATCTTGCTGATCTCACTGGTTCTATGTATTTTGGACGCTTACAATGTACAAAATTAGCATTTTGGCTCTGACAATTTAGATAAGATGCATATGCACAAGATGCATATAAAGTACTCAACATAAATGTTATTTTTATACTAGGTTCAAATGTTTTATGGTTCGGATCCTTTTTTTTAGATGAGGAAAGAGGGACTTAGAGACATTAAGGAGCTTACCGGCAGGCACCTGATAATGTCGGAGGTGAGATTTGTACTCCAAGAGTTGAAAACCACACCTGCGCTTTCAATTCACTACTTCTCCCCAAATCATAGATATTTCAATATCTTTTGTGGACACAAATAAGGACCAATTGTTAGGGTCCTCTGGATGTGGTAACATGGGAAAATGCCTAGAGGAAATAAACTTTTGCTTCTTATCTGGAAACTTTAAAGGGTTGAAGTTGCTTCTTCCAACAGAAGAATACATAGATAAGGCAAGGGATAAGGCAAGCTTTAGATGTCCTGAGTGCTAGTCCGAAGGTGGGCATGCTGTAAATTCCGATAATTTGTGGAGATTTGCTCCATTTTTTAGGTTCTTCCAGAAAACATAGCCTGTTCAAATCATAAAAACTAAGGCATCCATCACTAGTCACACAAATCCTTAGGAGAGATAGCAAAGTCCTGAGAGAATGCTTCCTGAAATTGCAAATCAATGGATGGTGGGATCAGTTCCTTATTCAATATTGGAAAGCCTGACTATATAGTGAAGTGTGAAGTGCAGTTAGAAATTAGATAAACCATTCTCCAAAGCCATATACGCTTGTGATATCCTTCTCCATTTACTCTGAGAGCTATCTTGGGATGTTTCTGTAGAATAGGGAGAAATTAGTGTAAATAGTAGTCACCAAGGAAAAGTTCATGGAATAAGATTCAATTTGCTCTTTGTGGGGGTGGGGAGGTGGATGATGATAAATAGAAACCAGGAAACAGGAAAGAATTTGGAAGGTAAGAGGTAAGGATGAAAAAGTCATGTGACAGAGAGAGAGAGAGAGAGAATGCATTTAGTTTTAGTAACAGTTTGTTTTAGTAACTTTTCTTTGGAACTTATTAGTGTTCTTAGAAGTTATTTAACCTCTCTTAACTTCAGTTTCCTGGGGCTGGAGAGGTGGCTTAGTTTGTAAAATGCTCACATGAGAACCTGAATTTGGATCTCCAAGACCCTTATAAAACAGACACAGGAATCCATACCAGTAATCCCAGAACTAGGGAGGCAGAGAAAGGAGGATCCCTAAGGATTACTTGACAGCCACTATTAAAAACTGGTAAGGTTCAGGTTTAGTGAGAGACCCTGTCTCAAAAGAACAATAAGTTGGACACAATTGAGGAAAATTATTGTTGAATTCAGCCTCCACACATGTGCACACACAAACTAACATGTATACACATGCAAACCTGAACATCATTTCTACATCTGTAAAATGGAGACATCATCATTTGTCCAATGATGTAGAACATAAAAAACATTAAGGATTCACTTTTGAATATATAAATATGAAACAGACCTTTAACAACAGACAGACAAATATAATATGATAATAGATCATATGTACTGTGTGTATGGAAGATACAACATCTCAAGGCTTCAGGTACATGTGTTTGGGGGAGGTGATTGTCTTGATGGTTAGTTGATGTCCATTGTGGGTGGCACCATTCCCTCATTATAATGGAGAAGAACACTAGTTTATAGTAAACAAGATTGCTTTTGACTGTGGATGTGTGTCACTAGCTGCTTGAGTTCCTGGCTTGACTTTCTGGAAATGATGAACTGGAAATTAAAATTGTAAATATAATAATCCTTTCCCCTTATGCTGCTTTTTGTTAAGGTTGTTGTCATAACAACACAAATGAAACTAGAACAAGAAGGACTTGACATCTTTTCTGTAACATTTTATTATTATTATTATTTATTAGAGTTTAATCACTTTGTATCCTGGCTGTAGCCCCCTCCTTTCTCTCCTTCAAGTTCCTCTTCCCTCCCCCTTCTCTCCCTATGTCCTCCCCTAGTTCATTGATAGGGAAGGTCCTCCTCCCCTATTATCTGACCCTACCCTATCAGGTCTTATCAGGACTGGCTGCATTGTCTTCCTCTGGGGCCTGGTAAAGCTGTACTCCCTCCCCTCCACCAGGGAGGTGATCAAAGAACCAGCTACTGAGTTCATGTCAGAGACAGCCCCTGTTCCCCTGAAGAGGACAGGAGCCTACCACAGAGGGTCTCTGAAAGACTCTACCCAGCAGGGTATTGAAGCAGATGCTGAGACTCATAGCCAAACTTTGGGCAGAGTTCAGGAGATCTTATGGAAGAATAGGGAGATAGAAAGACCTGGAGGGGACAGGAACTCCACAAGGAGACCAACAGAGCCAAGAAACTGGGCCCAGGGGATCCTGCAGAGGTTGATGCTTCAACTAAGAACCATGCATGGTGAGGACCTAATATCCCTGCTCAGATATAGGCCATAGGCAGCTCTGTCTCCAAGTGGGTTCCCTCCTAAGGGAAGCAAGGACTTGATATCTTAATAGGTAGTCAAAGATAGCCGTACTAAGAAGTTATGTGATTTTCTTAAACTTAATAGAAATAAGAGATATCTAAGGCAAATAGAGGTAATATCACAATATAACAGAGTAAGAATTTCCTTCATCGGCGAGTAGGTAGAGAATGCACCCAGACAGTGTGAGAAACAGTGACAAATGGGAAACTCAGTAGATTGGAACTTTTCAAGTATAAAGTCCAGGAAGGAGAAGAGTGTAGAAGGAGAGAGGCTATTTAGCTAATAACTTAAAAGAACTATTGCTTGTTAGGTTGTTTTAAAAATCTGAAAAAAACCCTTCTATACCAACACTTTCTTGTGTGTCATTATTCACATATGGTTTGAAAAATTCCAAAGGCAGTATCAGAAGCTTGAGTTCTAGTGTTGCTGAGGTGACAGGCTTCCCAGGGAAGTCACCCCTCTTTCCATCTTGCTTCTTCCATTTTTTTTTCTGTTTCCTGTAGAACAACCAACAAAACCATCTGCTTGCCTCCTTCATGTACATAGCCTGCTAAAATTGGATTCCTCAAATAGAAGCTTCTATCCTTAACCAATTATCAAAGAAAAATTTTCCTTTCTCAGAGGGAATTTGTGAATAAAAGCTCTCCTCTCCAACATATACTTCCTAGAAAAAAATTTCAAGCCCTTGTATATTTTGTCATATAATTTTTAAGGACCTTTGGGGTTGGCGAATGAGACAAAGAATAAAGGAGAGAAGAGAATTAATGAAAATCAAAAATTACAAAATAGCGGTGTTGTGATTTACCCCAGGCCACTGGACTACTTGAACTCAAACCTAGCTGAAGTCTCCTAATAAGTTATGGGCTATCTCTAAACCTCTGTTCTTGATAAAACAGTTGGATTTCTGGATCTAGTTAAGCAATTGCATCATTCCATCGACACACCATTCAGTCTTCCATGTGTTGATTCACATCCAGTAGTGCTGACGATCCAGAGTTATATAGAAAGAAGACAGACTTGGTAATTTGAGCTTTCTTTTATGTATGTATGCATGCATGTTATTTGTATGTGGGCGGATGTGTGTGCAGGGCTGCATGCCCAGGGTTTGAAACTGGATTGCTCTCCACCTTATATATTGAAGTTGGATCTCTGGCTGAACCCACTATTTCAGCTGGGCCAGCTACACAGCTTGCTCCTGGGATGCTCTCTGTACCCACCCCACCCCCCTTGCTCCAGGGAATTTCCTGTCTCAGCCTTTGTTGTGCTAAGATTACCACACCCACTGATTTTAAATATGGGTCCTGGGCATCTAAACTCCAATTAGTCTCCACACTAGTATAGCAAGCTCTTTACCAATGGAGCCATCTCTCTAGCCCCAAACTGTAGGATTTGGCTGTACTTGTTAAACTTTATGATCAAGACTAATGTCTTCACCCTCGTTGGATATCTCTGACAATGACAAGCACAAGGTATAGGGCCACCAAGGAGGGAAAGAAGAACAAAAAACTATGGTGCTTGCGGAGTTTTTGCTCATGGGACCAGGAGAGCTTGGGAGCATGAGTCTCCTGTTTCTGGATCTTCATTTTTGAGTTATGGTGAAGGAATTCTTCTAACAGGTATAATATATAAAATATATATATTTATATATATAATATATAAAAAATATATTATGTATATATAAAGTCTATATAAGTCAGAACAGATGTAGATATTTCCCTTCCGACCCCAGTAGCTGGTAGAGTTTTGGATTTGGTATTTACTAAATTGTTATTTTTCAGTTAACAAATAAAATTTCACATATTTATGAGTTACCCCGTGGTGTTTCATGCATGCTAGTTGTCTCAAAGAACTCTGTCATTTCTTTGTGGAGAAAACATTCAAAATCCTTCCAGTTGTTTTGAAATGTACAGTATATCATCTGAAAACACTGGCTGTGATGGTATTTCTCCTATTTAGCTGTGAGTTAGTACTCATTGACCAACAATTCCTTACCCCCTCCACTTCCTACATTTCCTAGCCACTGACAACCCACATTTAATGCTTA